CCCGGGCTTTTTCACAAGCTTTTCCACACAATGGATGGGAGGAATGGGAAAAGGGTGAAGGAATAAATCAAGGGCTCATTTTTCTTATAACAGAACTTCTCACCTGCAATGTTTGCTTCTAGAAAAAGGTCCGTATGTACAAAAACAACATGACAACTGTTCATAATCAATATCTGTTCCTTTCGACCTTGGATTCTTCATCTCCGGTACGACGCCAATTTTCAATGGTTGGTCATGAAGTTGAGTAAAAAGTGAAATCTTATCTTTTGAAGTTACGACTCGATAATAAAGCATTAGTATTAGAATAAACGCCAAGGAAAGGGCAATGTTGTTTATAGAAGAACACTTATCAGCTATGTATATCATAAATAAAGCATAGATACCAGCCATCGAAGTACAAGCCCAACTAACAAAAAACCATGTCTTTCTTTTGTTCCGTAGAGTGCAAGTGTAGAATACTAGCACGAATAGAGGTAGGTAGACAAATGCCAGAACCGTAAAAACAAATCCTGACGAGGCAAAATACAACGAAGAAGTTAAAATAATTATCGGAACGATTGCCTCCGTGTCAAACTTCACCGCGCCTCTAAACCAAGGTAATCGAATTCTGTCGGTGACTACTTTACAAATGATTCCAAATTTCTCTGTTGAGATTCCTTGGCCTTTCAAACACTGATCGACAGCGTTGTCTAAGTCCTCACAGTCACAACATAACGCGATTAAATGTGTTCGTTGTCCATGTAAGTTGTAATATTCACAACAACAAAGCGGAGAAGAATCCGTAGGTTCCATAATTTCTTGAATGTTAAAATCTGTCCCTCGCGTTCTTTTTGATTACTGAATTCCAGTAGATCTTTGAAAGATTTTTTTTTAACGTGCATAAAAAAGTAATCTTTATCATTGTGTTCGAATCTTAAAGAGTTCTTTATAACAAAGTTATTAAACAATCAACCACACAGTGCTTCCATCTGCTCCATGTTCAACCATTATGAAAATCTTACGGGAGGGGATGGCAGGGGTTAAGTTGACTAAACCACAGGAAACCCAACAAGTGCAGTACTGTAAATGTCTCTAATGTTGACTTAGTCATACTAGAACGGATGCAATTAAACCGTGAAATAAAATCAAACTAAATACTAACTAATAGTWTCTATTTAGTGACTAACAATTGCTATCACTCAACCAGAATATTCATCATACAAAGATAAATATTTTGTTTAATAAATGTTGAGTAATAGTGACTATTAGTAACTATAAATAGATACTATTTGTTAGTATTTAGTTTGATTTTATTTCACGGTTTAATTACATCCGCTCTAAGAGACTAAGTAACAGTAGAGGTAGAACAAACTTTGTAAACTATGGGAAGCAGGGGGTTAATACTCCATTTTACAGTTCCGTTCGAGTGACCAGGAATAATAGTTGCAAGTGGAGGCTGCAGTTTCCGCACATAGCAAAAGTATACTTATTATGCACAGAAACTCCAGCCTTGGCTTGCAACTGAACTGTAAAATTGAGTATTGTGCAGGTCATGTATTTCTCCCTTAGGGGGTTGATTTGCAGTTTAGTGAGTTCGGACTAAGCTCCCTAGATCTGCCACTTGATATTCATTTCAGTTTTTTGATTGACAGCTGCTGAAATGCTAGCAAGACAACATCAAACTTCACAGGTCACACCAGTAATAATGGTAGTAATATAAATGGTGGTGTGGTGGCTCTGCCGCTATAAGTGGGGTCTTTCACTGTGACGTCAGCGCAGGCTTCATTAAAATAATTTACAAATTTTGATTGGTTAACTCACACAAACAGAATTTGAAAAGCATCATTATAAATACTTAAAGTGTATATATCAAGGAATACATATTTTTTTTGAAATCACTAATATTTGAACAGTGTAGTAGTATGGTTGCAATATTTTTGCATGTGGTCTTCTATTTTCAGTGATACAAACATTTGAAATATCAATATGCAAATGAGATGACGTAAATTCAAGAATGGGTTAAATTTTGCAGTGTAATTTGTGACAAGTGTTCTGAAGTGAAATAACCTAAAAGTATACAAAGGAAACCGTACAAAGCCATATATTTCAGTCATAAGGATAATTTGTAAATGAAAAAAAGCAGTACTTTCCACAACAGCATTTTTGTATAATAAATTAGTCTTGAATTTATGTCATCTCATTTGCATATTGATATTTCAAATGTTTACATCTCCTAAAAGAAAATTTTACTTACAAAAATACTGCAACCATATTACTACATTATTCACATATAAGTGATTTTGAAAGAAAAACATTTTCCTTGATATACACTTTAAGGTTTCTACAATGTTTATTGTAAATTTGATGTCTCATAATGGCTAGTGCTTTTAATATTTGAAATTAAAACAAATACACTCAAAAGCCTGGGGTGACGTCAGCAGTAACAATTAAAGTATAAACCTTCATAACTTAGACACAACATTCAAATGAAAAAATATTTCACCATTCAACTATTCATTTTATGTAGAATCAATGCATAGAATTGTATCGGGGGTTAGGTGGACTTTAAGAAAAGTGGGCATACTAATGCAGGAGGTGGGGGATATTTAGGCTTGTCTTCATAACCAAGAGCTGTCAACATGGCTAAAATACTCAGATGGAAGGCTTTGCACCATCTACTTATGACAGCCATGTTAGATGGCAGGAATACAATAGTTTTACATGGGAAAGAATTCTATTCCCAAGAGCAAAGGGGTTTTATTGTTCTGCCATTTAACCACAGGCAGTCAAAGCTGTATTATGGGTGCTGACACATGATGGTGCAAAACCTCTATTGAAAGATCCTAGCACAATAGAGTGCATATCTCATATCCACGGAAAAAAACATGTAAGATATATTTAAAAGATTTGCAAGTTCAGTAAACTGTAGGCCTACAAAACTTTGCACTTATTTAGTTAATTTTTTCATGTATATATGGTATGCACTCTACCTGGTAGGTCACACCAACAGTTGGTTAAGAAAAAGATTAAAAAGACCCAAGAACAGCTAATGATTGATCAGTATGTGCATTTATATAGTCATAAAGTCTTGTACATTAACAATGATGAAATTGATCTACACATAAAAGACTGACTATGATAAAAGCTTTCAATTTACAGCATTTTACATTTAACACCAAACAAATACTGAAATAAGAATTTTCACATAATATTTAAATTCCCTCAGGTTTTTGGCCCACAAGGAAAGTAAAAAGAATTATAATATATTACAAGGTTTAAATACAAATACTTTGCCTCATGGGGATAGGAATATTGTGGCAAGCCAATCATTCATATTTCCTTGATGACACTGTTATTTCTTTTTTTAGACCCTTGAATTTTTATAGTGTATGTTTTGTATAGCAAAAGAGAATATTGGAATACTTTAGGATTCATTTCTACTATTCCTAACCTAATTTAAGAGACTGGTAAAATGATTTTGAAAAAGTGAAGTAAAAGTCTCAGTCTTCCTGCAAACCATATCTAGTAATTCAGTAATATATTTCTCCCTATCTCTACTTATAAAAGAAACTATTAAGTACATAATATTAATTTGCAGAGAAGCCATAAATACTTGACAAACTGGGTTTTTCTTTTACGAATAATGATAGGGAGAGAAATTATGAAAGACTACGAGTTGGTACAAGTGTGAACTTTGTGCATTACTTTTTACAGCAACTAATAAAACTTGCAATTGTCTAAACTAAAAATTTCTACCTTTGAAAGGTAAAGTACACTGTACAGTTGTGTTTATTTAATTGAAAACACTCAAAATTTTCGCACTACTAATTAATTTTAAGGACAATATTTACATTTTAGTCTACTTCCTACTCTTCCAAATATGTGCACTAGAGTGTAAACAATATAAACCTTGAAACTTTAGTAATATAAATAGCACAATTTCATGCAAATTCCATTGTTTTCTATTGTTTAATTAGCACTATTTTGTACTATTTAGTAATTAGTGTTTCAGGGATTAATTGTGTGCACTCTATTAGTTTGGTTACTATACTTCTGCATGGAAAATATTACGACAGGCCTTGAGACATGCTTGGCTTTAAGTCAGTATGAATCAAGAAACTTGAGCAGAAACAGATGCCACAGCACCATCTACCACTGATGGTGTGCTACTACTACTGGGTGTTCCTGGGTTACTAGAACCTGTTGCATTCCGCTGCTGTGCATGTTGAGGTATTAAAATAGAATTTAGAGAAGGCTTCAAAGACAATTCTGCAAGAAAAAAAGGCATGTTACTGATTGGTGTAGACACTTTTAAAAGTATGGTAAACAAAACTATAATCATCTTTAAGCAATTTGACACTCAACGATATTGGTGGAACAAAATGACAAAGTGTAGTAAACCAAAAAACGCTTTTCTCCATTTTGTTGTAAAAGTCTGAAGAATTTTTTAGTTTTCACTGTCTATAGTTTTGAGAAAAAGGTTTGGGTCACTGAGAAAGATCTGTGTTTGGACCAAAACTTATGTGACAACAAAATGTGATTAATTATTATACATCCTGATCTAACTTTCACATTTTGTTGGTCTATCATCATGGCAAATAACATTTTTTGCATTTGTAAAATCAAATCTTATACCAGAAAAACACCTTTTAATGCAATAGTTTTATAAATAACTATTTCTCAGCCTTAATGATAAGAGTGATTTTTTTCAGTATATTCACAGTGCAACTACTGTTACCAGGACCACTAGACCAGTAAGAGAACCAATTTAAATGTAGAATGAAAACAATGCATTCCAACTTTGGTTAGTCCAGCTAATCAGAAACCTAGACTGAAGGAGAATGGTAATTTGACCCTCCTGTTACAAGTAAACAAACTAGATAGCCATCATCATTTTCTTGTGGGAATAAAATGATATGTCATAAGGCTTTGCTTTCTGTTGCTTTCTGATTGGCTCCACTGCCCAAAGTTGAAATGTATTGTTTTAATTCTACCAATTGATTGGCCCTTGCTTTCTAGCTGGCCCCAGTTATAGTAGTCACACTGTAATTTATAATTTCAAAGTAAAGTACCTGGAGAAGTAAAATTAAAAAGTGGAGGCAGTTCTCTCCCATTAGGTAGTTTTGCTACAGGATCCCTCAGTTCATCAAAGAAGCAATGAACACATGATTCAATGGGTTTTAGCCGTCCTGATGGTGTGTACTCTAATAATCGACTACAAAGGTTAATTGCCTCTGTTGGTGTTTTGGGTCTGAATACCTGAAAGGAAGAAAAAAAAAAGAAAATGAATTTTACCTTAGTAAAGCCAAGTAAAATCACAGCTGCTTAACTTATAGTATATAAATTATATGTATATTTTCTTGGTTTTGTCTTGCATATTATAATATACTAATTGTGAAATTGCAAAAAAAGGATGCAGGATTCTGTTTTGTCATCGAATATATCCTTTCAAAATAAAAAAATTTGTGCGCTTAAGTAGGCTCAAAACGTTTTTTCTTGAGCGGGCACGCGCTCTAGGTCCGATGAGGTAGAACTTGCAAAAGGAAAATTTTCGTACTCATAAATTTTAATGTTCAAACTGAAAAAACTCAAAAATTCTGCAGTGAAATTTATTCAAATTTTGCATAGGGCTTTAGTTTATGTTTTCAAAAACTTAAGGAAAATTTTAAAAAATTCTGTAAAGGGAACTATTCCAAACAAATTTTATTGATTTTTACGAATTCCCTTTTACAGAATTTTTTCTTTGTCAAAAAGAAGATTATGATACAAAGTTTAAATATTCCGGTTTTTAAAAAAATTCACCATTTGGTTCTTGAGTTATGATTTTTTAAATGAACATTTTTGATGGCATACCAAGGGTTCTGATGTTGTCATGGCAATGTCTTACGTCATTTGTTTCATGTTCATTGTGATCTTTGGTTTATAGTCTTTGGCTTTCCTGGTTTACTTGCTGTCATATTAATTTTTTTTAGTTCATAATTGGGAGTGTATGTGAAGGCACAAAACACTTTCCAGCCTCCTTAAGTGAAACACAAGATATTGCACAAACACATTAAAAAAATATTGAAAATTAACTAAATGCAACAAAAATCTACTGCAACATGAACAGTATTGTCTTTCACATTTCTGGCATGATCTCATGTTTGAAGAAGCAAAAATGAAGCACTTATGAGCCTTTTTATCTGAATGCAGAAAAGCAAGCAGCACTGTGATTTTAAAAAAATCCTAACTATTTTAAAGGAAATAACCAACCTTATTCCAAGGGTGGGGCTTGATTTGAGGAAATTTGAATTCAGTGTAATGTGGATTCATTTCTTTGATTTGTTCTCTGGTTGGTGTTCCTAGCACCTTGATGATCTCTACCAGTTGGTCAACACCACTGTCACCAGGAAAGATGGGTTGACCAAGTAGGAGCTCTGCTAAAACACATCCTGCAGACCATACATCTACAAGAAAACAAACAGTCAAAAAATTATGACACTCAGTGCAACACTACTAGTTTTTAAGAAATCTAAAGGTGAAGTGTAAAGGCAGGCATGGTGAAAATAAGTTCCTAAGTTTCAGAAGACAATAATAGAGCTACTGATGTACAGTAAGCCATTATGGGTAAAACGTTTATGCTATAAAACCAAAATCATCCAAAATGTCTGTTTTGAAGTCCAAAAAAGAAAGATATTTTAAAACTGGACTACCACAACTATCTTAGTCTTACCAATGTCCGGAGTGTAGTCTGTTGCCCCAAATATTAATTCCGGAGCTCTGTAGTATCTTGAACAAATGTAAGAAACATTGGGCTCTCCTTTGACAAGAACTTTGGCACTAAAGTTAAGGAAAGAAGATTTCATTAGATGGTTCTAATATTGGGTTCTGAAGTATTTTGGGGGGTCTCAAAGCCTAATAAAGAGGGCCAATATCCACTTTTTAAGGCCTAGGACACAGACTTCCCTATTTGGACCAACTTTTTCCCCCATTTACTTTTCCACTTGTTTTGCAATTTTTGTTTGTTGTTTAAGAATCCATGCATGGCTTGGATAACGTAAGCCTTATCTTATGACACTGGACTGTGGTCAAAGCTAGAAAATAGTGCAGTCTCGAACAGCCAACCAGAATGCCCTATTTATGGGATATTGGACTGCATTTTTTTATTATGTACATCCAACATACCTTCCAAAGTCACATAGTTTAAGTACAGCTGTCTCTGGATCCAGAAGAAGGTTTTGAGGTTTGATATCCCGATGACAAATACCAAGACAATGGATATAGGCCAAAGAACGAAATAATTGATACATGTACAGCTGGTATAGGAAAAAAAAAAATTTTTTTTAACTTTTAAAAATCTGAAGCACTTTTTAATAATTTAATAACATATTCAATAAACTAACTCCTACAAAATTTGCTATTCTGATTTTAGGAAACTTTTAATTATCAATAGTATCTTTGAGGTTTTAGCGTTTTTTAAATGTATGATTATGTATGTGTGACGTTTTGGCTATGACTAGAGATAGCTTTCATCAGAATAATGATGAAAATGTGTGAAGCACATATATGTAAACAAAGCGTGGGAAGAGGCACTGAGGCTATAATTATTATTTATTTATCAGTTAGCAATCAGTCAACTTTATTTAGCATGTTAAGGCTTGGTCTGAACCCAATTACTGACAGGGTTTGGAAGGGTATTTGTGGGAGCCAGGAAATGGAAAATGGATAAAATATAGAGTGGAATCCAGGAACAGGATATTGGCATTGGCCATGATGTGGAAATTGCCAAGCTTAATGTCCAGTATTGGATTTTCTGATTTTTGGGAAAAATAGGAAAACACTAGTTAAAAAATCAATTGCCTTTGAATATGTTAAATGTGGGAAAAATGTCACAGGATGCCAGATCCTGTACTGATATTATTTAAGCTTTTTTGTTAATTATGTAACAGGATAACTTGAAACTTCCTTCATAGATAGAGTTTGGCAAAGAAAAAATAAAACAATTATCATAGAGCAATAGCTGTGTCAAGTGACCTAATTATGCATATTTCATTAAAGAATTGTTAATGTGATCTTGTGGAGATACAACATTAATCAGGTCACATGACTATAAACATCCCTTAACAAGACACCCTATGGGTGTTCACTGGGTTGCCCGTATCATGCACAGAGGCCTAGTAAAGCCAAAGAAGTTTGCAATGCTAGCAAAAGATTATAGAATGTTTCACAGAAAAGAATGATTTCCTTTAAGTCGTCTAACCACACCTTTTCCCATAAGGTGTTATCCCTGTAATTGTAAGAGAGTTGCAGGCTCTGCGTTTTTTTTGAATACCGGTCTTTTCAATCCAAAGCCTTTTCAATCCAGGCTTTTTCAAACCATCTATATACACTTTCGATCCACATACATACACATTCGATCCAATACAGTTATGAAATATTTTATAGATGTTTAGTGTTTTCTTTCGGTAATATTACAGAAATATCACAGAAGAAGTGAACCAATTCAGCAAGTAAACCAACTGAGGGAACCAAGTATCGTGTGTGATCATGTGTGATATGTGTTATCACTTACAAAGTTAAGCTAGCCCCCATAGTCACTTCCAATGTAAAGTCTTTAGCCAAAAAAATGTTTTCTCCCTTCATGAATATGAGAAAAGACAAGACAGATTGTTCATGAATTAAAGGAGCGATACATAACACAACACATTTTATACATATACATTAGAAAAAGCAGTTCATGATAAACATAAAACCCATCTTAAGTGGATCAAAAGTGTATATAGGTAGATTGATAGTGATAGGTGGTTCGAAAAGACCTGGATCGATGCTATTAAGGAAAACATTTTCTTTATAATTGAATGAATAAAACTTGATGCTAAAAACAAGTTAAACAAAAATCACAAAAATAAATTCTAATATCATTAATTCAGATACATTTCCTTGCATGCATGCCTTACCTTTATATACAACATGGGTATTGTCTGTTTTGCTTTACTATAGTGACGAGCCACTCTGTATACAGTTTCTGGTATGAAGTCCAATACCAGGTTGAGGTATATTTCTTCTTTCTACAGAATAAAAGAAAACTTATTGAGGATTAACTTTGACAATATGTATAACATTGATTTATTTATCTTAGACCCAATGCTTCAGGGCATTTCATTGGAAGGTATTGTATTCCACCTTAATTAACAATATTATTTTCTATTCTTCTCGTAAAGAAAAGGTAAAGATGAATTTTCACATACATTTTGCAAATTGGCTATAAATGTATACACCCACTTGCAAGAACGTTGTCATACGATATTTGAACATTAGTAATTTAGTGAGAAAGGAATACTTCAGCTTCAGTGATCTTCTTTTGTTTTTTAATATAATTCCTATCCCACTAAATCACTAATGTTCTATAACGTATGACAACGTTCTTGCAAGTAGGTGTATATACTAAAATATACTATAAAATACTAAAAGAAATACTAAATGAGCAGCAAAGCTATTCTTAGGCTCCCTGTGAATCTATTTGTCAGAAAAAATCTAGTAGATTTTTGTAAAATTGTTCTGCAATTTAAAAAATAAAGAAGTCCTACCCAGAAGGGGATGAAGGGGAACAGAGAGAAACTGGTATGATTTCAGAGATTTCAGCTCAGCATGAAGTTTCATGAAAAATTTCATCTTGTAACATGATGCATTACATAGTAGATCAAAATAAACATCACCGTTTAATATATAATACCATTTTTGCAGTCATTGTTTAAGCACAATTTTCAGTTCATTAAACAAACAAAATGCTGAATTTTGAGCTTATTTTCAAAACTTTATTCAAATATCAAAAAAAAAAAAAGAGTTCAAAGTAGATGTCCTGAGAAGATTACTATGTAGCTTTCATAACTTTTGAGTTATGATTTTTGTGTGTGCAAAGCTTGGTTTCACTATTTTTCTTTCAAAAACTTGTCCAGATGGTTATATTCAAAATTCAAAAACTCATGAATAATTAACAAGCACTTGATGGAGTGGCCATGCATGTCAAGTGCCAGGACCTTTCTACCCAATAAAGTCTTCTTCATTAGTATTGTTATTTATAAAATAACTAAGATATAACACGCGCTCTGATTGGTCAATTACCGTTTTGTATAACTCAACATAGATCGTGAGGAAATGACATCAACAACACAAGCAATGTTTTATTATTTCTTTTGAGTGAATCGTTAGTTATATCTTAGTTATTTTATGAAAGATAGAAAACTCCCCCTGCTCGTGCTATGATCAGTAATACAAGCACTTGGGAAATTGAGTGAGCCCTCGAGAAGTGCCAAGAAGCGCTTGCCTACGGCTCGTGCTTCTCCTAGCACTTCTCTCGGACTCATGCAATTTCTTGGTGCCTGTATAACTCAACATAGCACGCACCCTCATTTTCTATCTCTTCAATAAAGAATGCTAATAAGGATGAGATCTTTTTATAAAGAATTCATCCTTATTAGCATTCTTTATATGAAGAAACTCATTAGCTAACAAGTACAACTTTATCTGAGATATAGGTGCATCCAAGTGTAGATGAAGAAGAAGCCTCAGGCTCGTAGCGGGGGTAGGGGCCAGGGGGGCATGGAAACCCCCAATAATTTCACAACTTTTTTGTTTTAAGTAAACGTCCAGCTAAATTTCAAACACTGTTATCTTAAAATCGATAGAGGTGACTCGTTTTTCCGAAGAAAGTTCACATAGTTGGCATTTATAAATGAAGAAAACTCAAAACAAGACACGTGGAAAAGCATACACTTGAAAGAAACCATTCAAACACTTCATACAATTTGCATTTAGGCCCTGGCTAAACGAGGAAACAAGTTTCCAGAAATATGTTTCCCGCACGCTAGTTCTTCAATGATTCCAAGTTTAGCCACATGCGAAACATGCATTGCTGCGTGCAACAAATTTTGCTTCCAAGAGGCAAAAAAGTTTCTGCTGTGTGGCAGAAACATTTCATGCTTCCAAGACGCATGAGAACAATGTTTCCCAATGTTTCCTCGTTTAGCCACGAAAGTCAACATTCTAAAAGTTCGTTACTTAGCAATGCTAGCTCTATCTTGAAAGTGCGTATGCGCTCACCGATATTGAGCAAACATTTTTTTTTTGAGCAAAACATGTTTCCCGATGTTTCCTGACAGTTTTGCCACCTTTGGAAACATTTAGGGAAATATGTTCCTGGAAACATGTTTCCTCGTTTAGCCAGTGCCTTAGAAATTCGTGTCTGAACCTTGTCGATATTTCATTTTCGGCTTCTTTTATTAAATCAACTAAGACTAATTAAAGGTAACTGGTTCTTTTTATTTTAAGTCAGCTGTGTGCTTCATATACATGTTGAATTTCTATTTTTTGCTTGTACATACACTGACGTGATATTTTTGAATAGGTATTCACATGTTCAATGCTGAAGGTCTTTGCCCATGAATTTTAATTATTAATTATGCTGTTTTGTAAATTTGATAAAAGTTGATACAGTCATAATTTTGACTAGCACCCCTGTCTGAACACTGATGTACATACCTCACTGTGCATGACAGTAACAGCAATGTTCAAACTTCCATCGAAATATAAAAGTCCATGTTGCGACATGTATTTTAATTCGACCAAAGGTTTGTGAATTATTCCCGAGTTTTTGAAGCTGTTCAATAAATAGGACACCTCATTTTTCTTTTCAATTTTAAAGATAGCTTTGAGAACTTTGAAACTTGCTTAGTTAGCTGGCGCTAGGTGCGAACGGCTACTGGTTAAACTAAACAACATTTAACAAGTCAAAAGGTCTGGTGTGGAAAGGAAAGTATATTACATACATATAGCATCAAAAGCTACGACTTAAAAGTAAATTTTTAATTATATTAGCTTTGATGACAGTGTCATTATTAGAGTGCAAATGGTATCAAAAAAACTCAAATAAAGCTTAACACCTATTATTAAGCCTGGTCTTCATTGGTAGCATAAGCATTAAAAGCATAAGAGTGTATGTCCTCACTGGTAAATTCAGCGACATAAGTATGAAGACAAGCATAAGAGGAATGGAAGGTTTTGATCCTATGCCTGTGGTTATATCATATTGAGGACCAGGCTTTATACGACTCACTCAATTTCCAGTGTATTACGACCAATTTTCGAGTGCAATCACATAGCAATAATACAGGGTCTGTGAACCAGTTTTGAATGTTTTTGGCTGATGTCATCGCCATTAAATTTTCTACTTTTCCTTTGTGTGGCTCACGTCAGTGGGTTGAGTTCCTGACTTTCAAGTTTGTTTGTTTACAATAAAAACGTTTGTTTTTCATGCACTTTTTCTCAGTTCTTTCGTGTCCTGTAATAAACAATTTTTTCGTGAAGTTGCATTTTTTTCTCCCCTCTATGGGACTTGAAAAAATATGGCCATTTTCATTTGTAAGATTATCTGGCTCATGTAAGACACAACTAATTGTGTAATAACCTCTATTTATTTTTTTCCGGTCCGGTATCCTAAAAAATCGTGCGTTCTGATTGGCTGTTTGAGCGAGCGGTATTTTGTAAGTATATCTGCCCGCGCACATGGTCCGGTATCCTTTGCTGCTAAACGACAACACAAAACGATTACCAAAACAAGTAAAAAAAATATGGGAAAAAAATAAATGAGTTATTTACTGTCCTATAGTCGGTCCTATCCGGACCTCCTGGCCGGTAAATAACATATATATATTTGGACATCTTAGCAACTTTCCTTTACCAAAACTCTGGACTGACAAAAAAATTTTGCCACTAAAATAAAGTGCTAGTATAAGACATATTTTGCAACAATGGAAAAATATAATTGCAGTTATTTCCAGATAAGTGTCATATGTTAAATGCATGTTTAAGTTAAAGGTTAATAATAAATCTGTTTTCTATTTTAGAATCTGTTTGCTTTATTTAGAAACTCAAAGCAAAATTCAGAATTCCTTCTCGAGTAAAGCTTGACCTTAGATTAAAGCTCACAAGACTTCTGCGTCAAGTTAAATTTTGACAAAAATATAAAAAGTTTAATAAAAGGCTAGAAGGCTAGCACACAACAGAGTAAGCCTCACATCTGTAGCAATCATGACATATTGCATTGAAATGAATATTGTTAAACTTTGGTAGTATGTTGTCTTAAGATGGCATGAAATATCTGTAATGAAAGTGTTAGGAAATATTAAAGCACAACCTGTTCAAGAACTTCAAGCAAGGTAGCTTCTGAACAATAGTTATAAAATGGTGCAATGATTCAAGGAAGAAAGTAGCAATTTCAACCCTTAGTATCAAGCATTTGTTTTGGCAAACAAACCAAGACAGGAGTCTGTTTAACAGAGAAAAGGAGAAGTGTGGTTAAGTATAACGTTTAGCATTTAAATCAAATAAAACACAACATTTAATTGAAGTACTTCCAAACCTGGAAGAATGGATTGGTCAACAAAATTGAAAGTAAAAAAAAGAAAGGTTATAGATTAAATCATATATATTAAAATAATATATTAAAATATTGCATTTTTAAATCTTTGATGGCCCTAAGATTATAACAAATATACCTTTCACAACCATCTATAGCAGTGTTTTACATACATTATGTTAATGAAACACGAATTTTGAAAAACCAATCTATTGTTAACTGGTTGGTTTTGTTTCTTCATTCGACAAGGCATTTCTTAGTGTGTTTGGACATATTTTGAACGATATTTATAGCTACAAGAAGCCATTTCATAGAAGCCAAGCCTCGTAAGACAAATCTATGGGCCTTGTGTTTTAGACAATCTTCTGTGAATCGGAGAGGAAGAACATCATATACATATTTTTTTAGATAAAAGGTTTTTCTACTGGTAACGTTTCAAAAACGTTTTTCCTGCAGAATTTAAGGTTATATAGTATTCAGTCGATTGAATGTAAAAAGGTGCCTTATATAGACTCAGGAAATAAGGCGATGGGGAGATTTAAATGCGATCAAAATTTTCCTTCGAGTGGTTTTGCTTTGGACGCATACATGGTAGTCATTAGATTTTCCTAAGTGTAAACAATATTCATCAAAACATACGTTCCTTTCCTAAGAATTTTAGCAAAATTAAGACCTTTATTAAAAATCAACGACCAAATATTTCTTTGACTCGTTAAAGGAAGGATATAGCTCACTCCTTGGTGATATAAAAAGGTTCAAGGAGCCAATAATCTCTAACGAATTTAACAGCGAAGGAAGCCCAAAAACCGAAAAAAATTTCCATGCTAAATTTGAAATTAGAAAAAGCCTTCTTCGACATCTATTTGGATTACTGAGAGATCCAAAAGTCTATGTAAAACACATTGATTGTATTACGTAAATCACTGTTAGTCCACCCACGTACAAATCTTTAGATTCTCGTTTCTTGAAAGAGCAAAGTTGCGCTTATTACAGAAAGATACAAGACAACAAGGACATTAACAGTGCACATAAACCCGAACAGGTCGCGTCGACAGCGGGCGTCTTCGCCAAGAACCAACTGCAAACGGACCAAAAGCAACAACTATTTAGATGAAGTGACTTACCTTGTCTCCACTTGAGTAGAAAAACCATCTTAGCCGTACAATGTTACAATGATCTAGCTTTCGCATGATTTGAAGCTCGCGATTCTACGACAAGAAGGACCAGTAGGACAAATTAACAACATGATGTTTTAGGGGGCCAGGACGCGCTAGGACTTGTTAGACAGCTAAATGAGCCTTTACCTTGAACCGTTTGTCCTGTAGAACTTTTTTTATAGCAACTAGCTCGGAGGTATCACACGTCCTGGCTTGGTATACCACTCCAAATGAACCATTGCCGATAACTTTTGTGTCCGTATAACTGATCTCTTGAGTACGATCAGGCAACGATCCTGTAGTTGCAACCACAGTCGTAATCTTGCTTCCGTCTTTATCCCCTTTTGGTTAAAAACACACAGAGGACTAATAAAATCCTTGAGTCATATGACAAGGAGGGAAAAAGATAGAATAATTTATGTAATAGAGAGGCCAGTGAAAACACTGACGACTACAGATTTCGTTATCTTCACTTACGACTAATTTTCATCCCGGTGAAATTGAGCGATTGGTTTTTTTGGGTTTCGGCAAAGGATGTTGTCCTTGGTCTATGTGAACTCATTCTTTGGTGAACGCAACTAGCAGGTCTGTTGTGCTGATCGCCTTATATTACATCTCGGCAAAACGTACATTCATAATGGAGAGTTGCTTTCAAGCCACCTTACACCCAACCAAGACCGGAATCAGTTTCGCGCAAAGCTGGCAGCAAAACTGCACGACTTACGGCTCATTGAGGGCCAGATTTCAAAATAATATCTTTCAGGATTCCACCTCAATGCTTTCTGGATAAGATCGAAGGGACAGAAGAATGGAGATCGTTAAACCGTAATGAAGACTGGCTGTCGAAGAGAAATGACACTTAGAAAATCACAATGGCGCTCCAGAGGCATGTGGCACCGGGAACCCATCGGGACCCCCAGCAAAGTTTGTTCAATTGTTAGCCAATGGCAACCGTGACGAAATATTCGTAAAATGGCCGACGCCTTTCGTGTCTAATCGATATATTTTCGCTTTACTTCGCTATATTTCGGCAAGACAAACAGTATGTATTTCAGTTGTCTCTGCAAGTCTGCAACAGTTCTTTTGATGAAAGTCCTGGATGTTTCATATTATTTGAGATAATTTTTTTTATTAGCCTTTTTGTGTGATATATATTCCTAGTTTTAAGGTAGAGAGAAGGTATGGCAAAATTTACGGCTTTTAGAAGCTGGTATTTAATTGGTTAACTTAACCAGCTGACGGTACCCAGCTTACCCCGTTGAATGCGCGGGAAGATTTGGAAGACATGGCTGACGATACCATGTAAGTAGAAGTTGGCCATTCAAACAATGTATCTAGTAAATTTATGCTGACTTCTGATACCTATTTACTCAACAGAAATCCAGCAGATTTGTTCAAAGTGTTGATTGGTGAGTCATATAGCGTAGTTTTGTTTCCCCGGGCACTCTCTTGTTTCAAGCTGATTACAAATTAGCATGAGCTACAGAAGAGATTTTTTCAGACTATTAGCAAGGCCTGGATATCTGGAGGGGGGAGGATGGGTGGGGGAGAATGTCTATCACATAATGTCAATTTGTGTTTTTTTTGACTATGAGGCAAAAACTGGAGGGCTCAGGTCCCTTATTACCTGGCCGTGGCAATGGGTACAACTGAGGTTTTTCATTGCACATTTTTATATCAGAAAAGTATAGTACCAGTACCTCCCCTTGCTCCAGGCCTGGTTTTACCAGTTTATATTTGGAATGGGATTTTGTCAAAGTTTGTTAATTAATGTTTGCAGACGAAATTTCATTTAAGGCTACATTCATAATGGGATCGGGGGAAATGTTGGGAGGAAAAAGGGGGGATGCACAATTTTTGGAAGAAACTTCAAGCCTTGCTTAGGGGGGATCATATTTTTTGGCATGACTCTAAGGGGGGTGTTAAGAATTATGCTGGACATTTCAAATTTTCACCTGCCCCCAACCCCCTTCCCCCTTTGCCATACATTATCAACACAGCCTAAGGAATGGTGGTGTGAGTTGATTTTTGATGATGGCAATTTGTCATCATCATCAGTCATCATCATCAGTCATTTGTCATCATCAGTGTCATCATAATAACATAATAATAATAATAATAATATGTCAATAATAATATAATCAATATAATGTTCAACATAACCATTTTTCATGAAACAAGAATCTCAAAGTGGAATTCAATTAAATAATGTCAATAACATGGTCGTCATCTACATCGACTAGCTACGTCGACTAGCAACCTGCCTGTTCATTGCTTTCATTTCTGGGTTGTTTAACCTGCAATCAAACTTTAAACTATACAAGCTTTAACTTTGCAAACTTTAACTTTACAAACTTTACACTGACAATTTCGGCAGTTTGTGATCCATGTTTAACAGCTTAATTCTTTCTCGATGCTAATAACTCTAGCATTTTTTTATAACTGAAGCAGACAACAAAAGTTACAGGTTCCTGGCTTGTACTAAAATTGTTCTTTTTTAGTAAAACAGGCAAAGGGTTGCTGAAGATAACTTGTTTATTGTTGTAACTTATAGACAGTAATGTGTGCATTTTTCTTATTTTATTTTTCAGCTACTGATATCCATCTTGGTTATGCCGAGAAAGACCAAATAAGAGGAAATGATTCATTGGTTACTTTTGAAGAGATTTTAGAAATAGGCAAAAATTACAAAGTATGGAATTTTTTAGAATGTCAATGCTTATTTATTTAATAGTATCATCACTCTGTAATCCCATATAATAAACTATTATGTTATTTTCAAATTCTATTTCCTGTCCAAATCAAAGATGAATTTGGTTGTTTCCATTCGCATTTTTCTTGGGAAAACTATGACTTATGGAATCAGTCTAGTATAGTTTGGAATGATATAATTAATCTGCAATAGGACTACATGTCTGTCCAATTTTGAAATGATTGAATTCAAAAAATTCCTCAGCCTCTATTGGCCTCTTCCAATTTTGTCAGTCCTCGGAATTTTTTTCATACAATTATTTCCAAATTGGACAGCATGTAGTCCTATTACCTATAAATAGCCATCAATTCATCCATTTAGTTTTTCATTCATCTAAACAAACATAAAGCAACCAACTTTATAGGGTAACATATTAGATAATGTTAAATAATATATATATTTTTTCTAATCCAATATCCTAAGTGGAATAAAGGCACAGANAAACGGTGCAACATTGCGCGCAACCTTGCAGGGCAATGTTGCTACTACAGCATGTAGTCCTATTACCTATAAATAGCCATCAATTCATCCATTTAGTTTTTCATTCATCTAAACAAACATAAAGCAACCAACTTTATAGGGTAACATATTAGATAATGTTAAATAATATATATATTTTTTCTAATCCAATATCCTAAGTGGAATAAAGGCACAGAMAAACGGTGCAACATTGCGCGCAACCTTGCAGGGCAATGTTGCTGGAGTAGGATGTTTTCTATTGCGTGCAACTAATTGCATGGTGTGTCATGGCTCGCAACATCAATTGCATGGAACATTGCGCACAATGTTGCACCATGTGTCCGTGGCTTAATGCTTTGTGAGTGGCTGTATTGGAGTGGGCAGTATTTTCTATCTCTGACCATTTTTTTTGCTTGAAAATTTATAATTTGTTTACTTCTATTTTATATTTATCCAATATTGATTATATTAATTGATTGATTGTAAAGGTTGATTTTGTTCTTCTTGGTGGAGACCTATTCCATGAGAACAAGCCATCAAGGAAAACCTTACATGCTTGTATGGCACTACTCAGGAAGTACTGCATGGGTAACAATCCATGTCAAGTGGAATTCCTGAGTGATCAATCTGTTAACTTCTCAAACAATAGGTATGTATGTATCACTTGTGGTTGTCATAAAAATCGGTACATTTTGGAACATTTTATTTTACTAAAATATATACACCTACTTGCAAGAAGGTTGTCATACCAGAATAGAACATTCGTAATTTAGTAAATTTACCGATTAGGAATAAATTATCACTGATGTCAGACTTGAAATCATCAGTTAGAAAAAGATAATTTTGGACGACATGATGTAACCGGCATGCAGACACAGGAAAAAAAACTGGATTCCCAAATTGGGAATTGTTGGCAATTTTCTTGAATTCCCAATTTGAACAACAAAGTTGGGATTTATTGTTGGGAATTTCCTTCTAATACCCAATAGAAAAACAAAATTCCCAACAAACTAACATTGGGAATCAGTGCCACGTTCCCAATTTTGTTCTCTCTGGGAATTGATGGGAATTCGTTGGGAATTCAAGGAAATTCCCAACAAATTCCCAATTTGGGAATCTGGGTTTTTTCCCTGTGAGATGAAGACGTAATTTCAAAGTTTAAACGAAAATGAATAAATAAAAAATAAGATCAGTATTTGTTTTWGTAYGTTTCTGCTCGTGTAACATTGTGGCTATCATGCAGTAAATAAATAGGTTGATATAATAACAATGCTAAAAGAATTAGACTGGGAAAAATAACGTAACTAAACCTACGAATTATAGTGCTGCCTGCCGTTTCTGATATGTTAGTAGTTAGTCTGACGTCAGTGATATTTATTCCTAATCGGTAAATTAACTAAATCACTAATTTACTAAATTACAAAGTTCTATTCTTGTATGACAACCATCTTGCAAGTAGGTGTATATATAAATGTTTTGGTTTTTGCAAAATGTGTTAATGAAATACTTGTTCGAAATTGCATTGACAGTAATGTTTGGATGTGCACACCACCTTGAGTAAACGGTCTTTCTTTTAAGCTCTGTTTTGCTTGATTGGTCATAAAGTCAGACAAGTCAATGACATAATTGAAGACTGATTTCTCTGCTATTATTTTAGAGACAATCATTCTTATGACTGTTATGACCAATATTCTAAAGCTATTGTAATTTTTTCACCCCAGAAAATATATTTGAATTATAAGCATCTGTCTACCTTGTAGCAACAGACTTCAATTTCCAAGAGTGTGGGAAGCTTCTGATGGTTATTTTATTACATTGGATATTTATTTTTTGTTGGAACAAGTCCTTATGTGCCTCAGCCTCATTTTGAAACAGTTTTCATAATTTAAGTCGAAAATTAAGTTGATTTGACATTAATTGTGTTTTGTTAGGTTTCCTGTTGTTAATTATGAAGATCCTAACCTCAATATATCCATGCCAGTATTCTCTATACATGGTAACCATGATGATCCAGCAGGGGTAGGTTGTAATCAACAGCATACCATAAACCTACCAATATTCTATGGTTAACCTACCAACACCTGCTTAATGGCCAATGGCAGCCAACCATTTCTTGATATTTAGTTTAACCCAGTAACTTGATTCCCCATAGCTTAAAGTTATATATATTATTTATGTCTGTTAGATGTATTTGAAAATGTTATGTTGAGTTCATACATTCTTCCAAGTTAGTAGAAAATCCACCCAGTGCATCTATTATTATGTTGTACTGTTCAATATTATATCCTTTAAACTGTTGCTTTAACTCCCACCTAAGTGCTGTGTACTTTCGCGTCTTCTCTTCATCTTTCTTTGTGCAGTTACCCATCCATTATTATTATTATTATTATTATATTTGTTATTATTATTATTATTATTATTATCATTGTAAAGCATAATGGAGAATGATTATAGGATAGAAATGTCCAAAATGCAGAAGAAGTCAGTAAAAGAAAATGAGAGTAGAAATATCACCCTCTCTACTACAGCTCTAGCAACGAAAATAGCTGATTGATTGATCAAGGTTAACAAAAGTGACCGCAATCAATGAAAATTAATGATGATCGATTGACCATTCCGATGGCATGTACTGCAGGCATCCCAGACCTCCTATAATCCTATATTTCCTATAATTTGTATAGGATCCTATAAAGAGCCTATATTTAAAGAAACCTCATATTTTCAATAAATAGGACAACTGCTGAGTGATTCATTTATATTTTACACTGTTTAGCATATTTGGCAAAGGAAATAAAATTTTTTTGGGGGGTTCTGTTTTTTCTATGGCTTTTTAGTTCTGCATATCATTGCCTGTGCACCCTCCCGATCCCTGGTTATGCCACTGAAAAGCTATCTTAGCTCCTATAAAGTGCATATATTTTTGGGAAAAAATTCTATATTTTCCTATATTTAGAACTTAAACAGCCTATATTTCCTATCAAATTTGTCTAAAAAGTGGCTGGGATGCCTAGGTACTGTCTACCCACCAAAAGATACCATTATTCTGTCAACATCCTACTGTAAACAGCCTTCCTTTAAAGGCAGCTGCCACTTTTCTGCTAACACCTTACTACTAACAACCTACTGTAAATCTGGGCCAATTTTTTAACAGACAACCTACCATCATTCAGCATATTTATACTAGATAGATAGCTAGATTGATTGATTTGATAATCTATTTTATAGGATGGTAACCTATGTGCATTAGACCTGCTTAGTGTTTGTGGATTGGTCAACTATTTTGGAAGGCCGTCTTCTGTAGATGACATCACTGTATCTCCTATTCTTCTTCAAAAGGGCCCATCAAAGTTAGCAGTGTATGGGCTGGGGTCTGTTAGAGATGAGAGACTACACAGAACATTCCTTAACCAGAAAGTGAAAATGCTGCGACCAAAGGAAGATCAGGATTCTTGGTTTAATTTACTTGTTTTACATCAAAACAGGCATGAAGTGATATACGTTTTTGTTTAACAAACATTTTAGTTAAATTAACACCTTAGCTTTGAGTTCTGTCAGCTCTGATTTGTGTGCAAAATATACAAAAATGAAAGCAGAAACTATGAATTCTTTTGGTTCATTGATTTTTTATAGATTGTACAATTTAGATTAGCATCAGCTGTTACTAATAATAGAACTATGGTTCTAATGCTTATAAAGTATTCTTGAGGTAGCCAGCAGTGCAGATTTTCCTCAGGTGACAAAACTTGAAACCCCAGCAAGCACTACCTTGCCAACTGAAAATCTGTTCAGGGACTACTGGATTTGAAATATTTTCAAGTCTGGCAGACTTTGGGGGCTTATTAATAGCTGGGGGCTTAAATCATAGAGGAAATACAGTATAATATCACTGTTTAGAGAGTAAGAAAGTATATGTTCTATCAATGATTTTTTTCTTCTTCTAATGTTAGAGCTAAGCATGGCCCAACTAACTATATACCAGAGAAATTCTTGGACCCTTTCTTGGATTTGATCTTCTGGGGCCATGAGCATGAATGTCTTATTGAGCCAGTCCATGCTGAGGATCCCAATTTGCCATTTTACATTACACAGCCAGGTTCTTCTGTTGCCACTTCACTTTCTCATGGAGAATCAAAACAAAAGTAGGTATATGAGAGTAAACAGAGTCAGAACTATAGGCATTATTTTTATCATGCAACAGAATTAAGAATTTCACGATTTTACTGGTTACAGTGTGACTTCATTAACCAAGCTAGGCCAACCAAACAATTTTAAAGTTATGACGCTGAATAACATTCTGGAGTTTGAGTTGGTTCTTCTTCATTTCTGATCATACATATATAAAGTAAAATTTCTGATACACAAATATAAAGTAAAAAATATTCTTTTTAAAGGAAAAATGTAGAAATTTGTGCAGATTCTATTGTTTAAATACTCAATAATTGTGATTGGCTAATTTGTTTGAGTGGCCTTGGTTGGTATAGTTGCACTCGGTAATTGACTGTTGTAAACATATCATTATCGTATTGATATAGTGTTAGTAATAAAGACTGGATACAGTTCCTTATTGATTAACAAACTGATTAAAATGATTGATGACAGTTGTATGTTTAAAAAGTTCATGATTAATTGAATGATGTCCTGACAGATCACTGTGATTGAAAATATTCAATTGTTATCTGATCAGGCATGTAGGGATCCTGGAGATCAAAGCTGACAAAGCATTTCAGATAACCAAAGTACCTCTCAAAACTGTCCGGCCATTCTACATGGAGGATATAGTTCTTAGTGAGACAAATTTAGATCCTACAGAGGAGCAGAAAGTCATGCCTTTCCTCACAGATAAGGTACTATCGTTTCCTCTAAATCTTATGTTTGAATAATAAAGAAAGCATACCATGTCTGCTTCCTGCCAAATTTACCAACAGGGTTCTTAAGTCTTTGAATAATGAATTATAAAGTTGTCATTTTTGATGTATAATGCAAATTTAATTTCTGCCGATAATTGTTTAAAACCAGCTTTTTTAATTGTGGATGAAAAATTAAGGAAAAATATTTAAAAAGTTATACCCCCGATTCTCTCATCAAAAATGGTTTGGGGCCTCTTTACAAGCAGGGACGTTAACCCTAGCACTAAGTGTACCAGCTAAGCAGGTTCATTAGATAGCTTGGCTTTTATAGCAACGAAAAAAATGGTTGCAATGTAAATTATATTGTTTCAATATTGTTCCAATGTAAATTGAAGGTGGAACAGTTAATATCTAGAGCTGAGGAAGAACATACAGGGAACAGACGACAGCCTAACAAACCTCTTGTACGGTTGAGAGTAAGTTTTTTCCTTTTTATTCCAAGTAACCTTTTTGATAGAGAAGGTCCCAATAATGAAAGCACTTAAGTGTGGTTAAATGTATTTTAGGCATAGTTAAACTTGAGGCTTGTCAGTCATTGTTCTCTCAAAGCATGTGTGGTGTCCCATACTATGCAGGGCTGTCAGTGATGGAGCATCCTATGGGGCTGAGTTCAGACTACTTGTTGCGTGCTGCATTGCTTGTGTTAAGTTGGCACAATACTTCTGGCACAATACTTCTTACTTACACGTATGGGGAGCCCTAAGCTCTGCAAGGTGCCCCAGAAGTTACATGGGACCAACACATGAGGTCAACATTGCAGATCCAGCAATCAAATTATAATCATGAGTGCTGCTCATTTGTTTTGGCTCCCATCCCCACCCCACTGCACTGGTGGATGTATAAACTGCTATTCTTCCTTTTTTCTTTCTTTTCTATGATTTTCTTGTTTTTCTTGCCTTTCATCCCATTCCCACTCTCACTTTGTTTCTCTTTAGTACCCATTTTTCTGTTTTTGCTTTCTTTTCTGGCTTTTTTTACTATTCCCATCCAATTTTCTATTCCATTCATTTTCTCCTCCTTTTTCCCTTAACATTTTTACTATTATTAATTTTGCTAATAACAGGTTGAGTACAGTGGTGGCTTCAGCTCATTCAGCACACAACGATTTGGACAACAGTTTGTGGACAGAGTAGCCAACCCAAAAGAAATTTTATTATTTCATAGAAAAAAGGAAGTCAAAAGAAAAGGTAGATAAACTTTGAACCTTTTATACCTTTACTGTACATAAAGATGTAGGATTCACAACATATTCACATTTACATTTACCAATAATAGGTCATTTGCTCATTGTTGAGCACTTTTGGCCGCTCTAAATAAACAAAGTTTTTCTAATAAACATACTGGCTTTTAAAAAGACTTTTAGTGAATTATATTTCACTGAATAGGAGAAAATCTGGCTAAGTATGTTTGAATTAATTAGTATTGACCTAATATAGTAAAGCAGAATGTTCATAGGTCTTTCAACTTTCATTTATCTGTGTACAGTGTAATAATGCTTACCTTGACCACATCAACACATTAGGTTAACACTGATTGAGCAAAGGCTTTAGACAATAATGTATTAACACTCTGACTCATAGTGAAAATACTAGGGGAGGGGGTGTAGCGGGTGTGCATCCCCCCCAGCTGACCCAATATCTACTGTGTTATTGGTGCTTGAGTTTGGGGATTTCCTAATCATGAATAGTGCACCCTCTTCTAAAAGAACTTCTTGAATCTGAGGCAATTCAAGCCAATTTAAACTCAAGAAATTTTAAGCTCCAAAACTTTTAAAATCAGGAAATAGTTTTTTTGAGAACAAATCATGTGAATGTGTATTTTCATCAACTAGTTACTGATTGAAAATTCATTTTGTTAGATACTAGTGCTATCAGACCAGATGTAGAGGAAAGAATGTTGCACCTTCGCCCAGAAGCACTAGATAATATAAAAATAGAAGACTTGATTAAGGAGTACTTGACGTCTAATGATAATGTGAGTAAATACAATAGTTGCAGATAAACTCTTCAAGCTTTCTGTGTCCCTTGATCATTGACCAAAATGTTTGTATTGACTATTTCAGAGGCATACTTAAAAATATACGTGCTTGACTTGCAAATTCTAATGTCAATAGTTTAGACATCTTCAGAACCAATGTATTGTGATCCCTTTGCTTTAAAAAATCAGTCATTGGCTAGGCTATTTACAGCGTGGATGACTAATGGAAATGCCAGTCAGTTCTCGATTATGTGCATAGGGAAGACCCCAAACTTTATCTGAGTGACTGTCAATTCATTCTTTTCATCTACAACATTGCTCTCAACAGGCACTAGGACTCTCAATTCTGTCTGAGAACAAAATGGCTCAAGCTCTACGTGAGTTCATAGACAAAGAAGAAAATGATGCCATTCAAACTCTGGTTAACTGGCAGCTGGATGTGGCCCAGAGACACTTAAAACAAAGAAACAATGTTAGAGGAGATGAAATAGAGACTGAAGCAAGGAGGTTTGTTGTGCTAAGAAGGCAGAGGGAAGAACAGAAGAATGAAGAAGAGGAAAAAGAGGTCAGAGAGGTATGGCATGAACAGTTATTCAAACATTGTGGGTTCGTTTTTTTGTCTTTTCGTTACATGACAGTTTAGTTACACTGTATTTAGGCTGGTTTGTTACATAAGTATGGTCATTTTGATGTATCATATTGTCTATATTCAAGGTATAACATAATATTACAATCAAATAACATGAGATAACATGTTTAAATGCGATGCACAACAAGTTACCCTGTCCAGCCAAATCCATGATCCCTAAATTTCCTGATCATAATAAAAAGACAGCAAGGCGGGGTCATTGGTGAGCAAATTTATCTCGGATCAGTTCATTTATGATTAATTATTATTAAAAGAAATTTACTTGTGTTTCAGGTGTTGAATAAAAGCTCAAGTAAATCCATTAATAGAAATAATGATGTTTTAAGTGATGGTGATTTAAGTGACAATGACAGTTTAGTTGCCCAAGATA